GTTTGTTGTTGTTTGCTTTTTTTTCTTTTTTGCACCGGGCAGTCCCCTCCGTTAGCTTGCGGGTCGGCGGCAGGCTGGGCCTGAACAAGCTCCCGCGCCGCGCGGCAATGAGGATGTAATTCGCGCCGGTGGTTCCCTCACAGCTTGCCGTGGCAACCGGCCCCGGCTTCGTTCAACAAGAGCGCCGCCGCCTGTCGTTCTCTGGGGCCAACGGCGCGCAGAAACCCCTCCTTATCGGCGCCGAAGCGGCTCTCGAGAAGGGCCGCCAAAAGACCGCCCGCTTCCCTGACTTCTTCCTCTGGCGCGACTCCCCCCGCGTCGGTGTCGTCGTCGTCGGTGTCGTCCCAATCGTTGCGACCACGGCCTTCGTCGTTGCTGCTGCCGCCGGCGTGGGCGCTGGCGGCGTCAGACGCGCCCCAGCCGCCGCCGCCGTGAGGGGCTGGCAGCGCATCGCGCCAGCGGGGGGAGACGATTTCCAGTCGGGCGATGACGGCCGCCACCACAACAGCAATGGGTTCCGCGTTTTCATTTACCTCGCACTCCGCCATCATGAGGGATCGCGCGGCGCGAACCACGCAGTGCTCCGTCCCCTTCGCGGCGTACACGCCTGCATACACCGTTTCGTGCAGCGCCGCGGCGACCGCCCCCGCAATCGCAGGCGTCTCCGGCGAGGAAAATGCCATTTCAGGCAAGCAGGCCAAAGAGGGGCAATGCAGTTTGAGCCAAAAGAATCCACGTGAAACATCGTCCCCGCCTTCCTGCATTGTTGGCGCGGCAAAGACTGAACGATACGCAAAAGAAAACGGTTTGCGTGACACCCAATGCTTTGGTGAACCAACGGTAATTTTTATCGCTTCTAGTATCAAACACTGCTGGTGGGCGTAGGCGTTGGGAAGCCAGTGAAGCCAAATAGGAACAAGGTGCACAATTGTCCCGCCAACGCGTCTCACGGAAAGAGCAAAATCCACTGCATAACTTACGGAGTTCATGTCTTCGGAAAGTGCTTGCCTCCACGCCTCCGCACTCACGGCGAATTCCATCAAATCTCGGCCCACAGACCCTGTGAAGCAATCAGGGAAATAGGTGAATAACAGTAAAACCGCTAATGCGCAGCCAGGCCGCGACAAGCCTGTTCTAGTGTCATGTGAATTTAAAGACATATCCCGTTTTCCACCGAGGAGTTGCAGCAAATGCTGTGACGCCGCCTTCCGCACCGTCTCCACATCTTCCGTAGGGCAAAGGTAACGTCGAAGCGCCAGGAACCAAATGAGGTCTGGCAAAAAAAGAAGTGAAAAATAAACACGTTCGCGAAATCGCTTCGCCACTTGGCCACAACAATCTTCTACGAAGGCGAGGGAAGGCGCAAAGCGAACCCAAAACTGTGTAAGCAAGGGAACGAGCTGCTTGCCCATGCGTGCCACTTCAAACTGCCGCATCTCAGCAAACAACAAAACCGCGTAGAGTGAATCCGCAATGGAGCCCCCCTGTGCCTCAAGATCCACCGTTACCGCCTCGTCAGTCAGGGTCAATAAATGTGTCAACTGCTCCTGCAGCGCCATAAGAAGCACTTCCACCATTCTCCACCAATCATCGCTCGCCGAGGGTGATTCTGATTTTTTAACCATCGCAATACACAACACTTCAAAAGAATCCACAGGCCGTGACGCCCACACTGCGGCCACGCGTTGGCGAACACTGGCAGCCGCGTGAAGAGAAAGTTGTTCTAGAGGAGGCTGCATTTTGGTCCACCATTCGGTATGAAATGTGCTCGGGCACACGTGCATGAGGCTTGCAATGCCACTAAGAAGGCCTTCAACCTCACACGCACGCGGTTCCTTCGCTTCTTCAAGACGCAGTTTGACTTGGTTAGCCAAGTAATCTCGCGTGAAGGCGGCCAGCTCACCACTTAACTCCGCAATCTGAACAATTACTTTAACTGCCACCTCACGCACGGGAAGCTGCGGATCCAACAGAGATGGCAACCCCACTCGCAGCAAGACATGGGCCAAGACCAGTTCGTCTGACGTCACTTCGACTTTGGAAAAGAAGAATCCAAGCAGCAGCAAGAGAAACCCTTCCCTCTCATACCAGTGCTGCATCTTAGGCCATTTACTGAGTAGTAGACTCAAAACTCTCCGCGAGAAGTCGTTGTTTGGCGCATCCGCTTCCATCTTCACCTCGCGAAGAAGTGTTTCTCGCCCAAGCAGACGAATGCGAGACCAGGGGTCATGAGACGCCTTTAACATGGCTGCCGTCCAACTATCCGAGTAGGCTTCCTTCTCCCCACGTGCGAGGCTGGCAAGGGAACTGTACAGCTTGAGACGCTCATCTGGATTGTCGCTAAACTTGTCCGATAGCATCTGCTGCCAACAGGCACGTGGTAGCCCCCTTGAGCCTGGTAAATTTCCTGTCATTGTAGAAAGAAAAAGGTTAATATTCCTCTTCCTATTTGTTCATATACTCATCAAGGCCACGAATAAGAAAAATAAATTAAAAAAAAAGAAGGGGGGGGGGAACACTTCTACGTACACTTTGTATAGGTGTAGGTGTGTTGCCAAGAGAACAAACTTCACACCAGCTAGGATAAACACAACCTCACAACAACGCGAAGAACTAACATTATAACACATACAGACTGTGTAATAGTCATCATTGTACATCGTTCACTTGGAGTGAGGTTACTCGCTCCCCCCCCTCTCTCTCTCTCTTTCTCGTTAGCTCTCTCTCTTCCACTAGTGAATCCGGTTTGACCTTCTGGCTGGTCTTCTCCCTTCTCTTGTCGTAATTATATGTATCCGCGTTAGTAGTCATACACTACCTGGTGACAAAAGTGGTCCCGAGGAAGATAAATGTAATCTTTGCCCTCCTTCGGCGCCTGACGATACCCCATGCCTCGCATTCCCGGTATCACAATCACCTTTGAAGAAGATGAGCCTTCAGCCGGGCTCTTCCCTGACGAGGAACTACGATCACTTGATTTCGACAGTTGGAGACGCCGAAGCTCTCGCAAATGTTGTAACTCCTCTGCGGTTGATTCTGGGTGCCTTTGAACTGCGAGAGAGTCCCGTGGACTGTACGTTTTCCATAACAAACATCGAGGATTGTTGCAGGAGGCGACAGCCTTGTCGTACTTTATCACACGTGCAGGATCGTCTACCGAGTAGGCAGAGTACGCAAACGAGGAACCGAGGTCCTGCAGATTTGTATTGTAGGGAAGGGTCCTGTAGTCTTCTCGTTCCGCATTTGGGATGTAATCATGCCGGTACACAGTCGGACGCTTCTTCAATGAGCTCTCTGGTATCGTCAGGTAGGGAAATTTTTTTGCAGCCTCAATGTTTGCCTTGTCTGCTTCGCTCCAATCCTTGGTGTAGTCCGGTATGACGCGCACCCGCTCATGGAAGCCGGGTACATCTTTGTTGCAGTAGTCCAGGCGGTATGTCGAACTGCGATCGAAAGCGACGTCATGCATCTTGATGCGTCCATCTGGTGCTGTCAGTGACCGCCGCTGGCCAGATGTCGCACTTTTGTGCTTCTCCTCCCGCGCCATTTCTGCCATGCGTGCGACGAGCTGGTTGCTTGTCATGGGTGGAACCGCCCTCGCCTCCAGTACCACCTTTTGGGTCCCCACGTCGTCGGCTTTCTTCTTCGCATTTTCATCCTTCAACGATTTGGCGTCGCACCTCGTCATTGCCTCCATCGCGCTCTCATTCAACACATTGGGGAAGGCGGTGAGATGCAGCTCGGCCAGCCGTCGTTCACGTGCCGGTCGTGAAACAATTTGCTTCTCCCTGACGTCCCGCGGGTAGCGGGGGTAATCCTCACGCATCGTCATTGGTTTTTCTTGCTTTGCCCCTGTCCTCAGTGGTACTCTTCTACCCGGTTCTTTGCGTTGCCGCCAAAGGGGGCCTCGCTAGTTCGCGCCGGAAGAAGCTCCCGTAAAAATAAAAAAAAACCAACGTCAACTTTGTGTGATTTGTGTTTGAAGAGAGGGGCGTTTCCCAATCTCCCACCCCCGCGCGAGTTCAAATACCCTGCAACTACAGACCAACGGAGGCAGAGGAGGAAGGCACAGAAGTAGCCGACAGGGAAAAACTAACAAAGTTGGCTGCAGGGTTGGAAGTAGCTAAACGAAATAATACCTGAAAGGAAAAGGAGGAAAAGGTGGTGCTTCTCCTTGCCTTCGCTCGCGCTCTCTCCCTCTCTCTCGGTGCGTGTGTCTGTGTGCGTGCGTGCACGCATTCAAAATGAAGGACGCAGCATGGCTAGCGGCAAAGATGCTACCCGGAAGCGGCACAGAAACGCACAACTGTATGCATGTTACTTATGCAACCGATCACCCGCTTCGGATGACCTTGTCTTTTTGCTTAGCACAAGCAGAATCAATACCCTACCCTACTCTACCGTTCGTCCCTCTTTCCTGCTACTTCATTGCAAGCCAACAAGGTTAAACAAAAAAACACACATACAAAAGCATTGTTTCAACTAGACACTAGATGTGTCACAGAGTTCTTTCTTTCTTTCTTTCCATATATATATATATATGTCCGTATTATGGCTGGCCTGTTGGAGATGACTCTTGTTTTTGACTCCTTCCCTCGTTTACTTTTTTTGCACCTGTTAGTGTTGTCGCACTCACACCCACCCCCATACCTGACAAATCATTGCAAAGGAGATAGCGC